ATAAAAAGTGAGTACAAGTTGAACGCTCGTGGGAGCAATCTGGACAAATCAGGGTTGACATTGGCTTCTTTTGGATGGTGTCGATTATGTAAAATTTTAACGTAATCTGTCAGCGTCACAGCGCTGCACTTTCCCCTGGGCGCCAATTTGGGATTTAGCGTGGCAAAATCGCCAAACAATCGCCTCAGTTGTGTGGGAAACGTCACTGTGCGTTCTCCTGAAGTGATGTTCATTGTGCTCCGTACTCCACTGCAAGACCGGTCTGTCGTTGGCTGCTTTCTGCCATTCTGGAACCGACGGTCTGTGTGCTTTTGTGCAGCTTTCAACTCTTTGCTTTGAGGGTGTGTTACCTCAGGTTGACACCATAGTTGTGTATTAAACACGATTTCTCGAGCAACTGCTATTGGCGGAGGCATCGTGCATGAGGGGATACGTGTTGTATTGCGCCCAGCATGCACCAGGAAAAGGCCATTCAGCGTGATGTTCTGCTTACAAATACATTTCCGGTCCTCCCGCTTGGGCTTTGGATTGTCTCTTGCACGAGGACACAACTGGGCATGGGTGGGAACAACGCTAAGAAAGGGCGTGTGAGTGCTGAAGGAGGCACCCCTGCCGGGCAGCATCCCCACAGCTGGCTACCTCTTGATGTGGTGACGCTTCACACCTTCGACGCTCATGACCACCAATTGGCAGCTTTTGTCCCTTGCAAGGGACAAACGCTGCTCGGCACGAGGAAGATACGGGGGTTATCGAAGCGGCCGGGAGGAGCGTTGGCCCCACACAAAGGGAAATGGCGAAACAGGAGACAAACGGGAAGGAAGCGGCGCAGCACGTGGATTGAGTTGGCAAGGATGAGGACTCCGGGCGGATTGCAGCCAGCGACAGTTTGGCTGCGGATGGGCGTCATCACTTGATTACTGCACGGCAAGCGGTCCCCGTGTTTTGGGGTCGAGCATTTCGAGGCCTGTCGGTAGAAGCCACTCCTTTGGATGCCCCCCACGCGGTTGAGCGCAGTGGGTGCCTGGCTGCATGTCGCCCTGAAGGTCCGAATAAAGGCAACATCGCTGCGTCCGTGTGTCCAGCACGATGGACGAGGGCCGGCCCTGGTGACGCGTGGTGGACGGAGTTGGCTGGCAGGTGGGCGGTACATTCGAGATTGGAATTGCAGACCGAGATTCTGCGTGATGGCGGAGCGGCTCTCGCAGCGCAGCCACGTTCACGTGGCACGTTGTTAATTACCTAGGAATGGCCGACACCCACATGTCGGGGGCTGGCGCAGTTGTGGTCACCGCCGATTGCATATTCCACGGACGGGGTTGGCTGGTTGGAAACCCACCGGCTGGGCAATCAATTAATAATTTGCTGCGTAAGGGAACAACAGGGGGGTCGGGGCCGAGTTGGACACGTGCGCCGCCGACGCGCCCAATGGATGGCACCCCTGTATTTCATGGCCGGTGAGTGGGAAGGCTCAACGTCCGCGACTTGTTGAGGGGTCCGGTCCCACGAGCTCGTTGAGGAGTGGATCCAATAATGGGCGTTGTGCAATGCCTTGTACCTCGGAAAAAAGGTGGATGAACAAGAACGACAAGCGAACCGCTGTCAGGAGTGTTTGTAGGCGCAGGACTAGGTAGGGAATCTGGGTGGGTGCGTGCTGACCAAGTGTGCAAGGATTGTGTACCACATGATGCAGCCTCGGCAACTTGGTCAGCAGCGGGGAAATAAATGGACAGGGAAAGGGCTGTGTATTCTGAGGTGCGCGTAGCAGGGCCTGAGAGATGGCGATTCTTCTAATTTGACCTCACTGGAGCGACGTGGCCTTGGGAAGATGGTTAGTAGCTTAGTAGCTGCAGACGTCCAATGAATGGCTTCGTAGCCTGGAGTGGGGGGCTGGTTGACCTGGGCCGCATTCCAGGATGCTTGCCAAATAAACAGAGATGTGCTGGCAAAGGCATCAATTGCAAGTTGATGCAGAGGTTACGCCTAATGCGGCACTTGCTGCAACTCGGTTGCATTCTCATGTCAAACCTGCTGTGAAGACACATGTGTAATTGTTCTGGGCTGAACTGACCTTTACATTCTGCAAAGGAGCAAGACACCATCGGGTTGGGCACATGGCGAATCTTTGCCTGATCATCATCTCAAACAGAGCAAACTTGTGTCCAAGCCTACAGACCCTCAACTGCGATGCTGCAAGAGTTGTGCTGGAGCACTAGTGGACCAGTCTTGGCAGCGGAAACTGTGAACTTGTGCAGTGGATATCTTGCTGGAGGCTTGCTTGTCATTGCAGCAGTGGCAGCCTTTCAAGCGGTGAAGACACCCAGAATGGCAGCATCCAAGCAAACGCACTTTAGAACATCCAGTGTTGGGAAGGCAGGACCCTATACGTGTAGTGACCGCAGATCAGCACCAGTGGTGCATAGAATGAAAACTTAAACCTTAACAGGTCAAAAAGCCAGTGACCAAGTGCGATCATATGCAGGGCTGCAGTGGCTGTGCTGTGAAGTACCCGCTCTATATGAGCCCTACAAAAGTTTCTGGAAAGCGCAGCAAATCAATCCAAATCACTTGCCTTTGGCTTCAGTTTCAATTGCCCAAAGGATCTGCTGACATGCAGCCTATGCTATGCCCAGCCTGCATGCCATCTGGAAGGCAGAGTCAGCTCCATAGAACACGCACCTGCACAGCATCGTCGTCAAATGACTCCCATCCATGTGAGTGAGACGATCATTTGTAAGCGCACCAGTGCCCACATCATCCAGCCACGCTTGTGCTCTCCATTCGCTCTGAAGAGGCTGCTCCCATATGTCCAGCCAGGGGTGACAGGAACATGAAAAAACATCTCTGAGAAAAGCGCGTGATTCTGGTGTGTTGCACGGACAATGGATCAAACACAAGATCCGCTGATTTTCGCCTGATTTCTTTTTCACAAGTGGTTCGCTGTTGGACCATCAACAACAGAAAAGAGGCAGGAAACCGGCCTCCTCAGAGACGTAGTACCGTCACGAGGCTAGTGGCACCAGTTTTCAAGTCATCGCCTTGCCAGGTGCCCCAAGGGCAATTTATCGTCAAAATTCCTGCACCTTAATACGAAGTAGAACATCGCTTCGCAGATCACACTGCATAGACACCCGGCTCGGACGACTGTTGATGAAACATCTCGCAGCAAAAACTCAGACCCAAACTCGGACTCAAATCCAAGGCTCGCACTCATCACCCTTTCAACGCAGATTGGGACGCTCCAGGGGAATGGGTACCCGCCGGACGCCGTCCCAGCAGCAGGGGCACGGCTTTAGCAGCTGGCAATGTCCGCTGCCGATGCACCCGTCCCACCCCGGGGATGTGCAGCAACGTCGCTTCCGATGTTCACTTACGAGGCCGAAAGGACGGAACGCTGACCCAGGGCAGGTACTACAGCCGCGTCGTCAACGCGATCAATCGCCATATGGTGCACAGCTTCCTACCCGGTGCTCGTCGCGCGTTTGCACGCCGGGGACGACAACAGCCGCGCTCGGTCTCGGTCGGGCCGACAGCAAAGGTCGGCACCAGCCCGCCAGCGCCTCGTATTGCAGCGGAAGCCGGTGCTGTCCCAGACCGCCGGCTGACGGCCGTGTCTGTAGTTGCGAGCGCCAAGGGCCGCTGGCCATACACGGCCGGCCGTCAAAAAGGTATTCTTCACGATGAAATGAGGGACGATGTGTGCGGCTGATGATGGGCTGGCTGAACGATGTGACCCGACGCTCGGGCCGTCGCCTCACGTGTGGGTGCAAGAAACTCCCCACCCGGGCAGGGCGACCCCCAAAGAAAGGCCGCCCTCTCCGCCGGGCCGCACGGAAGAACTATCGAGGCGGCAGCGTGCGGAGGGGCGGAGGAGGAATAAGGAACACCGGGGAGAGAGCGGCTGCGGCAGTGCCATCGAACTTGCCGGCGTGGCCGCCGCGCTCGGAAGACGGCTGCTGTCGCACAGGGGGGGTCGCCCGGCGGGGACCGGGGAGTGGCTAGGTAGCGCGGAGGCCCCTTCGAATTACGTGACCGGGATTTTTGCAGGTGGGCGGCCGGACGGGGGCTGGCGGGAGGGCGGCACGCGCTGGGCGCCCGGCGGGCGGCGATCGGAATATTGTTTGCAGGACGGCTTGTTCCCGAGGGGCGCATGCATGGTATTAGAGTGTGCAGTGGGGTGCTGTTTCGGGGCGTCGGGGCGCCACCGAGGCACCGAGCGCGGCCGCGGACGCCCCGGGGACGCCTCGCGGACTCCTGCGGTTGCGAATTTTGCCAATGTACGTCATGCTGTACGGAGTGCTGGCTCGCGGCTGGCTGGGGGATGGGGCGAGGTACGGATCGGTACTGATGCTGGGCGAGGGGCGGCGCCGCGATTGGCACGGGGGTGGGCACAATGCGGCGCGTTGGGGCCGCGGCCTGCGGCGCCACCCGGCCGAAGTATCATCGGCGCGCCCAGATCTGTCGGCCTGAACATTAGGTGACAAGGCCCCCTATTTGCTCCTTTCTCCTCGCGTCCAACCGGCGCTCACCGCCAAAAGCTGGCCTTCTCACCCTCGCCTGCTCTACCGCAGTTCCGTCAACCCCAAGAACTCCCCGTAGGCGGCTCACGGCATGGCGCCTACACCATTGCTGACCGCGGTATGCTTCCTCCTGCTCGGCGCGTCCTTGGCCTACCGGCTGCCCAGCTCCAGCGTGAACTCGCGCGCCCTCCTTCAAGGTAAACACCCCCCCTCCCTTTCTCCCCACCCGTTCTTCCCGTGTCCCCCTTGCGCCACCCACCTCATGAAGCCACCAAGCTCACCCGGTTTTTGTTTTGTCGTGCCCCCTGGACAGACGCCGCCCTGACCGCAGCGGCGCCCTCGGCGGGCTCGGCGGTGGACGCCGGCGCGCCGGCCGCATCCCCGGCGGCGTCGCTGGCCCTGGGCCCCGCGGCAGCCCCTGGGGCTTCGCCGCAGGATCCGGACGCCGATGACGCGGCGTTGGCCATCCTGGATGACTCAACCATGAGCGTGTCCCAAGCGCCAGCCGCCGCGCCTGGCCTGGCTCCCGCGCTGGGGCCGGCGGCTGCTGCCTCGGACGCGGACGCCCAGACGGTGGAGATCCTCGAGCAGGCGAACCTGAACGCCACGGACGGCAATTCCGCATCTCCGCCGGTGGGCCTCGCGTCGTCGGCGGTTGGCGGGGACCCCCTGGGCGGGGCCCCGGCACAGGCCCCCGCATCATCTTTGGCGTCGGCCACCGCGGCGGGGCCATCTGCCGCTCTGGCGCCGTCTGCGGCTCAGGGGCCGGCCGCGGCGCTGGGGCCAGCCGCTGTGGACGCCGATGCCGACACGGTGGCGATGCTGGAAGAGGGGGACAACGTGACGACCGGGGCGGCGGGCGTGGCGCCGGACGTCAACGCCACCGATCGGGGCCTCAACGCCACGGCGCCGACGACCGCGCCGAGCCTGTCGACGGCGTCAACATCGGCATCAGCGCCTGGAACCGCTCCGGGATCATCGCTCGCTCTGGCGCCCGGGGCGGCCGCGTCCGGACCGGCCGCTGCGGGACCGGCGGCGGCGGAGGACGCGGATGCGGCCACGGTGGACATGCTCAACGAAGGGGTGGACGCTCCTGGCCCGGCGCCTGCCGATGCGCCGGCGGCGTCGACGGTGGAAGGGGCACCGCTCGAGGCAGGCACCAACGGCACGGCGAACACGACGGCGGGGAACGCGGCCAATGTGGGTAATGCGGACGCCGCGCTGGCCCCGGCTGCATCCGCGGTCGAAACGCCCGCTCCGGAACCGGCTGTAACGCCCGCTCCGGAGCCGGCTGTGACGCCCGCTCCCGAACCGGCTGTGACGCCCGCTCCGGCGCCGGGGACAGAACCTGTGGCTGCACCGGCCCCGGCTGCCGGTGTCAACCCGGACACCTTGACGACGCCGGCAAACTCGAGTGCACTGACGGCGCCCCAGACAGCGTCCGCCCCAGTGTCCGGCTCCGCCCTGGCCCCCGCCGTGGCGCCAGTCGCGGGCCCCGCGGAGGAGGACGCCGACGCGGCCGCCCTCGACGCCATGATGGACGACCTGGCTGCGGGGCCTTCGGCGGACGACCAGGAGATCAGGATCACGCCCAGGGACCCCAGCCAACTCGGGGGCGCCGACGGGAAGGGCCTGAACGTGACCGACCCCGAACTGGATGGGAGTCCTGCGGCAAGCGCCGCTGCGAAAACGACGGGCATGGTGAGTGACATCTGCATTGTCGCTCCAGGATATCGCTTTGTGTTTTGCAGTCCCCTCAACCACAGCATCCCCAACCCCTTCTCTGGCGCCATCCCGCAAAACTAGACAGCAGACCAACTAGATGATGGGAGATTCCAGCAGTTGTGCTCGCGCGGCAATGTTGGTGCAAGGCCGTGCATCAACACTGTGGTCTGCCTTGGAGGCGTGCCTGGCTCAACGCGGAAGAATGGCGTAGTCCTTCAGTTCAAGGCGTTTCCAAAGACCACTGTGCAACCCTCGGTTTTGTGCTCGTTTTCTTGTTGATGAATGCTCCACTTGACGGTGGCTGATGAATGCTCTTGTGGTTCTTTGTGTGCAGGTGTGGGTCATGGTTGCATCAGCTGTGGGAACAATCTTTCTCCTGGGGTAGGAGACATAGCTTACATACGCAAACAGAAGCCGTGAAGCACAAATTCCTACTGGGGTACAGTCTTGCAGTAGGTGGAGTAGTTCTTCTGACGTGATTCAAAGTTCTGTTGTAGATATGGCTGGCCCAGAATAAAATGGTGAGCGATTGGGCAGCCCGCCCTTGCGGCGAAGCTTGCCTATTGCACATAGTCAAACGTTTGGCCTCTTCGAATATGTGCAAGCTCACAAGGGGGAACGAACTGTTGTTTGTGAAGAATTTATTGATTGGTGGCCAGCGGGGTATGACGCCTTGGCACAAACCATGCCATTCGCCTTGTGCCAGCGCTCTTTTCCCTTTGGCGCCTGGCCACAAAGCCAAATGTTTTGCTCAGTTGCGCAGATCAGCCACTATGCCAAGAGCTACAGAACAAAGAGGCGACCGTGCCTCAGCTTGTTACCATTGCCGATTTGGCCAAAGTGCCAGTGGCATTGCTGGGATATGGATTGGATCAACGATAAATTGAGCAACGAACGAAAAGCAGCCCTTGCGACTAGTTGCCCGACTCTGCTGGATACATCAATGCCCTTTGCACCGTCGCTCCTGTCGTGCCTGCAGCCTCACTTCGCGGTGGGGCGCCCCTCTCAAGAAACCCGCCGACAGCACGAATGCAGCTACCAGCAGTTCCACACACGGGGGGTGCCTGAATCCACTCCAGAACAGCTGCTCTATTCTATGCATGCCACTCGCAGCGCTATATTTTCTGTTCTTGGAGTCCTTTGCCAAGCAGTTCCAAACGCGACTGCTTCCAGGTCTTCCGCCTTGGTTTCCTTTTGAAGGCGGCCACCTGAAGCACTCAATGCGGCTAACCCGGTGAGCTGCTGACCAACGCGGCGGCTTGTCAACCTCGCAACCTTGCTGGCGCTGTCTAAACGGCGAAAGGACAACGACTCATCTTGTGTCAACAGGTGCAAGCGATGAAGTATGAAGCCACCTTGCCCAGCCATCAGCACTTTCCCACAACCAGGACGCCTTCACGCACCGCGGATGCCAGTACAAGGGCGTCCTCTTGCTTTGCCATCTAAGATACCCCCGCCTCGAATGTGATGGGCTCTCCCCTTGCCCGACGCGCACAACCCTGAACGGCCGAAATCCACGCAGCACCCACCTACCCCAGCTCGGTGCGCAACCAAACTGATCCACACGCATGGATCCTGCGACGCACCCAGGCGCCCCAAGGCCGCAAGACCGGCGCCTTGTCTGGGTGACCACCCCAGTCAGGGCAGAACTGAGCTCGGCGCCCCGCGCCCACCATACTTTTCGGACTCCGACATGCTCGTCATCGCCTGCGTTCGCCCCAAGAGCCCCCGCCTTGTCTTTTGAAGGCAAACCATGAACAAAGGCCTTTACCCTGCAAGGCGCGAGGGGGGCGTCTTGCCTTGCACCGGCAATCGCAGCCGAAGGCGTCCGTCTCCGCGGGGCCAAGTCCCCTCCCCCCTACCGGGCTGTCCAACCGCCGTCGATCGACAGGCACGCGCCGGTGATCGACCCCGAGTTTGGGCCGCAGAGGTGCACGGCCAGCGCCCCGATGTCCTCCGCGCCCACGAACTTCTTCGTCGGCTGGTCGGCCAGCAGCACGTCCTCGACCACCCTCTCCTTGGGTATGCCCCGCGCGGCGGCCGTGGCCTCCAGCTGGTTCCTCACCAGGTCCGTGAGCACGTAGCCGGGGCAGATGGAGTTACACGTAACGCCGCTGCGCGCCGTTTCCAGCGCCACGGTTTTCGTCAGGCCCGCCACGCCGTGCTTGGCGGCGTTGTAGGCGGACTTGTAGGGCGAGGCCACCAGGGCGTGCATGGATCCCGTGTTGATGATCCGGCCCCAGCCCTGGTCGAGCATCCGCGGCAGGGCCCACTTGGTGGCGTGGAAGGTTGAAGAGAGGATGGTTGCCAGGATGGCGTCCCACTTGTCTTCCGGAAATTCATGGACGGGAGCCACGTGCTGGATGCCGGCGTTGTTGACGAGGATGTCCAGGCCGCCCATCTCCCGCTGGGCCCACCCCACCATATCCTTTATGGCGCTCGGCGCCAGCAGGTTCGCGTCGCTGTACTCCACGCGGCGGTCGGGTCCAGCTGCCGCCTGGGAAAAACGTTTTGCGGCTCTATTCCTCATTCGTTTCACTTCCATTCTTTCGCTGTTTCGGGACAGGAACGCGGGGACGGGCGCCAGCAGCAAGCACACAAAGGGGCGAAGCCGGGCGGATGAGCAAGGCGAAGGCTCGTCGGGATCGCTCCCGGGCGGTCAGCCGCCCGGCAAAGGTGTTTGAGGCCCTTCCTAGCTGTTTCTGGTGCTGAACGCGTCTGTCGCGGGCAGCTGAGGTAGTACACGCAGGCAGCGAGCAACCGTCGCCAAAAAGAAGAGCGCGATCGTGCAGGCGGCGCGTCAATCCGCCTCCCACCTGGGACTGGCGTGCGCGCGGCCCTCACCCTGATCTCCTTGACGCTGGCGTTGATTCGGTCAGCGTCGCCGAGCCCGTGCATGACCACGTCCGCGCCCGCCTGGGACAGGGCCCTGAGCACGGCCAGGCCGATGCCCTGCGTGGAGCCCGTCACCAGGGCGACCTTGCCCGCCAGCATCGCCACCCCGTCGCCCTCGGCCGAGGCCCGACGGCTCCCGCGCTCGCTGGCTTGGGAGCGAATCAGGCCCACGTGGAACCACACTTGCGTGCTGGGTCATCCTTCAAGACGGCATTCCCCCCAAAACTCGCTGTTGGCACAGCCCGTTTTTTTTTTTGGCTGCTGCTGAACTCATCATTTTCTCAGTAGCTTGGCCCAGCTCCTGCGGGTCCCGCGGCGCCAGCCGCAAATCAGCAGTATGCTTTTGGCAGATCGGGGTGCGCTGACTGCCACGAGGGGCAGGGTAGCAGTGGTATATACATTACAGGACGGGGGGAGCGAAGGATCTCTTACTCTTAGAAGGCCTGGGTGGCAATTGGATGAGCGTTCCCCCAATCTTGGATTTTTTATTGGGCAAATTCCAGGTCAAGAAAAAAAGAAGAAAAAACCGCTGCTCCTTGGTGTTAATCGTACTCGCCCATACGGTCCCACCCTCAATACCATATCTAACCACGGAGCGCCACCACGGCAGCGCAGCAGCGGAAACTTGCGCGGACACCTTACACCTTTTCGGCTTTTGCTGGCTAGCACGCGGCGCCCCGGCTAGGCCGCCTCCCCGTCCGCCCGACAGCCATGACGGTGGTGAGCCAGAGGGAGCGGCAGGAGGCCCTGCAGGCCATGGACCTCGTGAAGGTGGCCCGCTCCTACGTGGACAAGATGCTGGACGAGGTGCCCGGCTACAAGGCGCTGCTGGTGGACAGGGACACGGTGCGCATGCTGAGCACCGTGTACTCGCAGACGGAGCTGGGCGGCCAGAGCGTGTTCTGCACGGAGCGGATAGACAGCAACGACAGGAGGGAGCACATGGAGTTGAAGGTGGGGATCGGCAGGGTGGGCAGAGTGTGGCTTGGGGGCTGTTCGGAGTGTTTGTGTGGGATATTTGATGGCAACATGGGTGCCAGGGCAAGCAGGGGGTGGCTGTTGGAAATTGTGGCGATCTGCGGCGGGATCGACGCTCCCGGGAAGGTACGGCAGAGCCCGTCAGGGCACTGCTGCTTTGCGGATTGGACACCTGCCAGATGCCGTGTGAAATCTGTGGATCATTCCGTCCTCCACGCCTCACAAAGCGGAGGATGAAATCCTGTGGAGGCATTTGTCTTCAGTCCTGAGTCTGTGGATCATTCCGTCCTCCCCACCCCATAAAGCGGATGATGAAATCGTGTTGAGTCATTTGTTTTCAGTCCCGAGAAGGTGAGAAGGTCGTTGTCGTGTGCGGCCTGGGTGTGGTGGCCTTTTGGAGTTTTTCTCGATCGCCCTGCGGTCTGCCGCAGTTTTGTCTGTTGGAAGCACATGGATGGAGCAGCGGCAGGGGTCAAGTCCAGTTCTGCAGCACAGCGCCCCAAAAGACCGTGACCTGAATTCCGATCACAGAATTCTGTTTGCCGCCTGGGATGGTCAGCACCTCAAGATGCAAGGCTTTGTTCCATTTAGCATGTGTGGACAACAGATTCAGTTCCACACACAAGTGCAACACGCCTACAAAGAACCATGGAGAAAACATCAACGTGAACGCAAGGGTCAAAGCCCTGAAGACAATGAGCAGTGGACTGGTGGCTGGATGGGGTATTGACTGTTGCTCGAGCTGACCGTTCTTCCTGCAAGTCAACCAGCTTTCAACGCTTACAGCACTGTGTTTGCGATCTGTGTCGCTTGCCACACCACTGCCTTTTTTGCAACGACTGCCTTCTTTCTTGATCTCCTCTGCATGGGTTACCAAAGGGATTCTTTCCACATGCACTGAGAGTGCCTGAATCTTCTGGTGCACAGAAGATAATCCAACTGTTGTTCAAAAGGGGAATGTAAATTTGTAAGGCTTGCCTTGTTCTTGGGATGTGTGCTGTCATATTGCTGTATCTTCAGCAGACAATTCTCAACGCATGGGCTGGAATTGAAGTGCGAGTTCCAAGGGCTGGCTGCCTTGTTTAGTGAATCAGAGGGTGTGGCTGCGGTTAGCTTGTAGTGGTGCACTGTGCTTCAAAAGTTTTCTCAACCCATGAGGTTAACTTAATGTCCAGATTCTTCAAAGAGCTGGGAACACTTCTACCCAATGTTGTGTACTACTGCTGCCTCCATACCTTTCCCCATTGCTTCAAATTCAACCAATGTGGAACGATGGGCTTGGAATGGAAATTGATGGTTGGTCGTGCACCTCCGGTAGGCTGTCGTCTTCCTCCGCCCCACACGTGAAAATATCACGAAAATGAAGAAAGAGCTGAAGTCCCCACGCTTCCAGTCATACCACGTCTGTGAGTATGCTGCCCCTCCACTGTTTATCCCGCAGTTGGAAATGCTTTGCAAAGTGTTGTTGATTAGGAATTATGCTACCCCTCCTTCAGTCTTGTGTGATAAGTGAATCTCAGCTGATATCAGAACCTGGGCTCTCCGCTTTCGGACTCTCTGTGTTTCACATGCCTTTCTGACAGATATTCGTGTTGGTGCCCTTTGACAGTCTTCTCGAACATTCTTCAGGAGACGATGCTGACAGACTTGGCTGAACAGGATGCCATGAAAGAGATGATTCAGCAAGTCCAGGTGCGCTGTGGTGCTCTGCAGACCGCAAGGACGATACCGTCACTGGATGTGCAGAGGATGTATGCTTCTCTTGCCCAAATGATTTGAAATTCGAATGTTTCAGCCGTCAGTCAGTGTGCCTGATCCTTGGGCGTTTCAACAGCCCTGAATCTCTGATATTTCTGAATCTCTGAACAGCGGTCTCTGGCACTTTTACCTTTTGTGCTTGCAGGAGTTCTACAGTGACTATGTTGTTCTGGATCCATACCACTTTGTGGTACCCATCCTGAAGTTGGACGTTATCATAAACCCTCGGATGTCACGGCTGGATGGGCATCGCACACCTGCCAGTGAGTGAGTGCAAGGCTGGTGTGCCCACCTCTCCTTGTGTGATCTAATCTTGCCATGTCCTTTGGGTTCTGGCTATCCTCCTTCCTGTGCACCAGATTTAAGCATTTTTGGTTTGTCTTCTTCCAACTGAGACTGTCACGTGGCAAAGGTCCAACATCTTGTAAGTTCTAGCAGCTTAACAGTGCTGGCAGCTGCACATTTAAATGACCTTAAGAGGTTTGAAATCGAAAGCGCACATGCATATGGTCAGGACACAGGATTTGGATCTGTAGTTGCCTGTTGAGGCCTTTGTGTTTTCCTTTTGTTTCCCTTAAACAATAATTTCCATAGATGCTGCACTGTCTGCATACAGTGTAATAAACACTTGTTCCTTCTTGTTTTCTTCTGCCGACTCTGTCAAGGCGACCCACAACTTGTTTTGGTTGGTGTTGCTGCTTCTCTTGTTCATGGATGACCTGATCCCATCCTCTGCTGTAGTGATGGGCATTGCTCCAGAAGTACAGTGGCATATTATCTCAAGTCAAGCGGACAACCTTGGAATACCTGCTGTGTGCTTGTTTGCATGTTGCTGTCTCATTTTCACTGTTGTTGCCAGTGGCCTCCACAGTGCAGCAAAGTAGAAAAGGACCCAATGTGCCAGGAGAGGGTGCCCCGATGTACGACATGTTCTATGGATGTCAAATGCATCCATATGCAGCGAATGCAATCAGCAGCAACCCAGTGTGTCAGTTTGTGCTTTACAGGCTGGATGCCATTGACAGACTCACGCAGGGCGTGTCTGCTCTGTTCTTGTCACTGAGAAGGCGCCCAGTGATTCGTTACCAGAGTGGATCAGAGCTGGCAACACGGTTGGCAAACAATCTGTACAACCTGGTCTACAATTATGTGAGTTGAAGTGTTCTGTACCAGATACAATATGTCCCATCTCAGTACCTTTCTAAAGTCATGGTGCTGACAGAGCTAACGACTGGTTGTGCACCTGCACCACAAGTTGGTCTGTTTGATGCATAGAGGTAAAGGTGTGACATGTGAGGCGACATTGTATTGCTCCATGAAGAATGCAAGCAATATCACTGGGAGTCAGTTGAGTGCACCTTGAAAATGCTGCCGTTGTACCTCTGAGAGAATATCTGGCATTGGCACAGCACGAAATGTGGCTGATGTGCAGCTGGTGAGAATGCAGTGTGCTGATAGCTGTGCATCTTTCTTTGATCGAATTATCGGTGGCTGTGGATAGTTGATGTTGTTCATCACGTGCATCTATTTTGAATTCCTTTTCAGTGGTTTTGGACAGTTGCCGTATGGGCAAGGATGGTCGGCAGGGCCCTGAACAAAAGGGCAGTGGCTTGTCTCATCTGTGAATCACCTTCTCTTGCGACAAGAAAACCATGAAATGTAATCTAAAACAGCAACATCCCTTATGTATGCTCTCATGCACTGAATCTTTGCAGGAGCGCGTTCAGTTCGACTTTGGCGTCAGGGGAGGCGAGACGCCGGCAGTGCTGCTGATCTTGGATCGCCGGGATGACCCAGTCACCCCATTGCTTACCCAATGGACGTACCAGGCCATGGTGCATGAGCTCATCGGAATCTCTGACAACAAAGTCAGCCTTGGCAACAGGCCCAACGTGAGTCCTTGTGAGTCCTGCACAAATCCGCATTCGCTCTGCCTGGAAAGTTGCAGTTGCCAACTGAGGTCAACTGAAGAATACAAGAACTTATCAAACAATTTGCACCCACAAATGCTGCCTACAAACTGCCGTGAATGGCAAAATCTTCTGAGTGGCTAGCTCAAATTCTTTGTTAACATTCGGCTTTCAACAACAAGGTGGGGTCTTGCAAGTTGCCACCAATGATCTCATCCTGGTGGCTTGCCATGCCCACTCAACATCTCTTTAGCACTGTGATTGTTTGCGCACCTTTGACAACCCTCGCCTCACAGCTTACTTTGGGTCCAAGTGGCGAAAGAGGGCTCCTGGCAGGCACATCCGCAATACCAATTATGTAGGTCTGAAAGTTGTAAGGACAGTGGTTGCCATGTTTTGGTCAATGCACATAACACAACATCAAGCATTGTTACAAATTAACAAACAAGTTGCTGGCAGCTCTGTTCGGTGGGTTTGGCTCAGTTTGGTTTAGTGATCGAAGCGCAAGCATGGTACCTAGCCATCACAGACCCAGACGACGTAGCTCAGTCCATAATGCATTGTGCAGTGGGTGTAGCGAGACACTAAGATAGGCGTGCTCCCCCCTCCCCCATTATGGCCATGGTTGTTTGGTGACAGAATGGAAACAAGTCACTGCAGGTGCACCCGTGCCGATATCTCACCATTGCACTTTTCGATGCTCCTCTGCTAAGTCAGCTTAAGCACCATGGAAAGGAGGGTCAATTGTTTTGTTGCCAGGGTGGAGGTTGCCCATTGCGCAGAATGCAACCAGCGTTCTCCCATTCCCTGATCAAGAAGTTTTCCTGGTGCCACAGGTGCACAAGGATTTCAGGGACATTACCCTGAGTGCCCTCCATGATGACTTCTTTCGGCAGCATATGCACTCCAACTACGGGGATGTGGGGCTGGCAGTGAAGGAAGTGGTCGAGAATTTCAAGGGGGAGTCGGACCAGACCCGCCAGATAAGCTCAATCGAGGACATGAGACGCTTTGTAATGCAGTACTCAGACTACAGCTCCAAACAAAAGAACGTCACCAAGCATGTGAACCTAATGAGCGTGATTTCTGAGACCATCGACAGAAGAGGGCTCATGGAGACGTCAGAGGTGAAGTTGATGCAGTGCTTTAGCATGATGAGCGCTGCACATCCAGAATGTGCGCTGTGCTCAGCTTCGGTAGTTTAAATGTCTAGGTCGTGGCACAAGGATGTGATACAATGATGATAGACTAATGTGCCAAGGAGTTGAAATTGGAGTGTGTTGATTGTGTATAGAATGAACGGCAACAAGCCTTTTAAAACTGTGCAGTGTATCAGTTGCTGATATGGGCCATATTGTACATACTACCTTTCCGATAGGCATCACATATATACTGAAGACAGTGTTGGTATGGGATGATGTTGGTGCTGGGTCCAGGTACTCAGCAACACATGCTCATTTAAATCGGGATCAGTTTCTGCAAGTTCTGTTCTCTGAATGGACCGTTGCCACTCCTTATTCACCCAACTCTGCAGCTGGCAGTATGGTTCGGTAATAACTCCATTGATGCATGGCATGAATGTCTGACTCCCACTTGTACACAACTTATTGAAAGGGCTTCAGAGCTCACTGTTGATCTATGTACACCAGGTAGACGATTGCACTTATCGTTTGCATCCACCAATACCATCTCTTGTTCACAAAGCCATGTCCTCTAACGTACCAAACACAATGACAGTTCTGTCAGCTCACATAGCAGTGCGTTGTGGATACAAGGGTGGTTATTTTACCTTTGACAAATGCATCTGGAAATTTGATGCGAATCTCTCAGCTGACCTGCATCTTGCCCAGGTTGAGCAAGAGCTGGCCTGTTCGGCCAGCCCCTCGGCGTCGGCCACCCAGGATGCTGTCATCAAGGTGCTGCAGAATCCTGGGGCGTCGCAGATGGACAAGCTGCGGCTCGTGATGCTGTATGCTCTTAGGTTTGAGTCTGACAGGGAGCGCATGCACCAGCTTCTGTATCGCCTCAACCTGGAGGGACTCGATGAAACGACGATCGAGGTGGTGCTTCAGGTCTTGAAGTATGCGGGCAAGGCAAAGTGAGTGGGCGTCATTGTTGTTGCTGATGATCAGATTGCTTGGGGCATAAACACCACAAAATGTTTTGTAAGTGTGAGGCAGATGTCCAAATGTGTCCTCACAACCTCAAGACAGACCTCCTTTGCGGCCGATTTTAGGTTACCTTTGTCATCTCTTTGCTGTTAATGAATGGCTTTTGAGTAGCTTCGGATTGGGGCTGGAAGTAAACTAAAATGCTGGAAAGCTAAGACTTTGAGAAAGGAAACTACAGTCTGGATGCTAGTGGGATTGTCAGTGTCGTCTACTTGAGCCAAATACAAGACTGGAAGCACAAGAAATATCCCACCATTGGGTTATGACGAAAACCACGTGCTGCTAGCACTTCATGGAACATGCAGGTCCTGCATAACCTCTGAAAAAATGCCACCACCATCGTGCAAGCAGCCGCAAACCCATTTCATTTTGGTAAACATGATCAATCGCCCATCTTTTGTGTTGTAGACGATGTCGCAAAGGTCAGTGTCACTGCGAATCCCATGGTTCCGACCTTGCTGCTATTCACACACTGTTCGTCATGCCCGCAAGGCAACATGGTATCAGAAGTTCGTGGCGATTGCATGCAGAAGTGCATTTTGCTGCGATAACCAAGATGAAGATACATCTTCTATGGTGTTTGCATGTATTTCAGTGAGACTGGGCCTTTACTTCACCAGTTGTCTGGAATGCTCGAGAGTCATGCCAGTGTGCTTCAACTGTTTTTTTCCGCAGCCCAGAACACTGCCCTTGCCTTTTTGTCGGTGCTGGTCGCTGTGCCATTTGCAAAGGTTTGTTCCAATGTTGTTTGCTGATTCATCGCTGCACAGCTCTGAGCACCACCTGTGCGCATTGTACTCAGGCGGAAGGGGGATCTGTATGGTACCCGGACGATGTTTTCAAGGGCTAAGAAGATGGCGAAGGCGCTGAAGGGCGTTGAAAACGTGTACACGCAGCACACGCCCCTTGTCTCAGAGACGTTGAGCCTGCTTGCAAGCAATGACTTGCCTGCCAACTCTTATCCCTATGCGAGCGAGGCTGGGGTGAGTGCGCCGCTCGGGAATAGGCGGTGCAGTCAAAGTGAGGTCTGGAGTTTAGGGTGCAAGGGTCTTGTCCTGGACAATGGACTGTGCACTGCAGAATTTGTTTCAGTTATACAGGAGATGGTGTGTTGATTATAGCATGCTAGGCATCTGTGTGGCGATCGGCTGAAGCCCATTCTCTTTGATCGTCAATTGAACCTGAGTATGCCCAGATCGACACAAGGGCTTCTATCGCGTAGGCTCACTGTTGGCAACCTCATACTACCCTGGCCAGGGTGTCGTTGCGGCGCACATAGAAGTGCGAGTTTGTTTGCTGCACCGACGGGAATACACTCTTGGCCTTGATTGCCATCGCTGCGTGATTTCTCATATTCTGTCACCGCCGCGAATGGCTATCCTCGGCATTGCTTTGCGTTCTCCGTGGCTCTATTACCTTCGAAAAATGCAATGGCAGCAGTGCATTCTGTTTTCCTTGTGCTGGCAACGCGTTAACCGCCCCGTTGCCTTCTGTTGTGCTCTGCTAGGACGAATTGTCGCATTGGCAGGCGCAGTACAAAAAGTCCCCACCGAAGGAGGCCATCGTCTTCATCATTGGCGGCACGACGTACGAGGAGGCACGGGCGGTCGCCGAGTTCAACGAGCGGCCCGATGCACCCATGCGGGTGGTTCTCGGTGGCTCCGGGCTGCTGAATTCCCAGACCTTCATTGATGTGCTCAGGAGCACCATCAGCGCGAAGGATAAGGCTGCAGGGTCCGCGCTAGAAATCCTGAGATGATGTTGCTGAGCGCTGGCTGTTCCTCGCAGGGGGCGGGGACGGGGGGGGGGGATGTGGAACGGGGCTTGTGTGGTTGTGGAAAGTGCAAATGAGCCGCTGTGTCACTCTTAAACGAGGCAATTCGCTCCATGGCGAGGGTTGGATGTTGCGAGCACATACATGGCGGGCTGCTGGGCGGTGGTGTTGGCCAGCGCCCTTCATCGGGCTCCTTGGCAACTGTGTTTGACGCACACTGCCCCATGAATTGCACCAAGCCCCATGCATGCACCGCACTTCAAGGAGTTGCGGGCCTCTGTCTCTAAGTCCATCTCCGGAAAGAGCTGATGAACTCACATGATCAAAACTCAGAAGACACGTGTGATTGCCGGCGTTTTGGTGTTCATATTGTTGTAATGGGCACAGATATTCATTGCACACATCTCTACAAGCCACTGTGCTAGACACGAGGATATGCCTCAAAGAGACTTGGGATGGATGTGACCGTCTTTTTAGTTCCAATGCAGTACACTATAGTTCGAACAAAGGGACTCCCCCGCAAATCGGAAAGCATGGCGGGCCCTTTTCCAGCAAGAGCCGATGTAGGGTCCCAAACA